GCGAGGTGAAGCGAAATGCAGCCAGGTCACTGACCATTCCGGCTTTCATGATTCTCTTGGTCACATGGTGTTTATACGACTGACCGCATGCAGAATGGGAATCGGAGCGGACATTAGAAGACGTGGGTTGTTAGCGGATCATGGACCGAGGATATGATTAAGGTTTTAGAAACAATTGTAACAAAAAGGATACATATGCTTAATATCAGTAAGAATCAGTTGAAATTTCTAGGGTACATAATGAGGAAAGATGGCTTGGAAAATTTGAAACCCCCAGGTCAGAACGAAGATCAGGGAGACAAGTAAACAAGGCATAATCTAACTGGCGTGTTTGAGTGAATGAATGGAGGGGCAGAGTTTGGTAGAGATGGCGAATATACAAAACTTATTGAGAGCTCTAAAGGACAGGAGAGTTGTGGAGAGCCATAATCGCTAACATCCTGAATGGACATGGCGCATAGAAGAAGAAGAGGCGAAGAAGAAGAAGAAGAAGAAGAAGAGGCGAAGAAGAAGTAGAAGAAGAAGAAGAAGAGGCGAAGAAGAAGAAAAAGAAGAAGAAGAAGAAGAGGCGAAGAAGAAGAAGAAGAAGAAAGGCGAAGAGGAGAAGAAGAGGCGAAGAAGAAGAAGAAGAAGAAAGGGGAAGAAGAAGAAGAAGAAGAAGAAGAGGCGAAGAGGGAGAAGAAGAAAGAAGAAGAAGAAAAGAAGAAGAAAAAGAAGAAAAGAAAAGAAGAAGAAGAAGAAGAAGAAGAAGTAGAAGAAGAAGAAGAAGAAGAAGTAGAAGAAGAAGAAGAAGAAGAACTTACGGGATAATCATAGCGGGAGAAAATGATAAACTGATTTAAAAGTGCACATAACCAATTTAAAAATCGCTTTCACTATTATCACATTCGGGACATACCTGTACTCCTGGGCCGGTTCTCATAAAATAAGGTTAAGCAACGTTAAACCTGATTAGTATCTAGATGAGTGACCACTCTTGAGCCGAGTACAAATTTCAGACGGGTTCCTTAAATTCCCTTATGTGTAAATACCCTTCCGTCAGCTATGATTTAAATAGCGAGATTTGTATAAGAAAATTATTATTCGGAGCCATTACCCATTGCACCAACCGCATTTCAAATTCAACAGCACCTTGTGTCCCAAAGTTGTCACTCATTTAGGTATACACCTCGCACATATCCTGATATTCCTAAGCGGTCACCCATCTAGGTTCGGACCAGACTCGATGTTGCTTAACTTCAATGATGGTACGAAAACTGATGTTTCAACGTGATGTGAGCGCAAGTGCATTTCACCACTCGCACGCAGACTGATATTCACAAGTGGTAACCCATCTCCTTACGAACCAAGATCGGCGTTGTTTAACTTCGGTGAGAATACGAGAACCGATGTTTCAACGCGATGTGGAGGTAAGCTCATTATACCACTCGCACAAATCCTGATATTCTCCAAGCGGTCACCCATCTCGTTACGAACCATCTCGACATTGCTTAACTTCGGTGAGAAGACGAGAATCGATGTTTTAACGCGATGTGGACGTAAGCTCGTTGTACCGCTCGCACACATCCTGATATTCCCAAGCGGTCACCCATCTAGGTTCGGACCAGGCTCGATGTTGCTTATCTTGAGTGATCGTACAGGAAGCGGCGTTTCGACGTGATATCGCCGTAACCCGGCTTAAACTAGACGCAGTCAAAATAGGTGCAGTATACATTAGAATCTAAAGGCTGAGATAAGTTGGGTTTATAACCTAGTCTGCAATTATTCACTCGGAAAATGACCCTTTTGTGGGGGCAGGCTTACACTCGTCTGTTAAAGAGGTATTTCTCGTATTCTACGCCCTGTATCTCTGCAGAAGGATAAGACTCCTCCCAAGAGGCGTCCTGGGTATGGCGATAAACTACATTCGGCAGTACGGACCCTGATCGAGAGGTTTTGAGAAGCGTGGAACCACATCTTAACTGTCGTTTTTCTCAACTGAGGTTGTAGCACCTGTTAGGGTTCTAGCTATGGGCAAACAGTTATTACCAGAAATACATTTTTGAAAGATTATTACAAGCAATAAACTTTTCAAAAAATACCAGCAATACATTTTTGGAAAGAAAAAAGTGTTATTGTAAGAAATGCATATGACTCGTTACGAAAATACGTCAATGAAAATCTTCAAACTGATTTCTTACAAAGAATACATATTCAATTTATACAAATCTATCCTAAAAATCTTGTCGGTATTTGAATAACCCATTGAGGTGTAAGCCTAAACGTAAACCCTCCTCGTATTCTAAGTCCGGCTGACAGAGAAATCCAACTTGCTACACAGTTTTTTGTGTTTACTTAAAACATTACTGAAATTTTCATTGGAAAACAAATCTGGAAACATTTTAGTAGTTATATATTTTATATATAACACTTACAACATTATAATTGATAATATGTTATATTTTTAAAATATACTATTATAACACGAACATTTTCATCTCCCATTTCTTTCGTACCGTGATCGAAATGCTAGGGTCGTCATCGTAGAAAATGCCTTAATGTGATTAACTTTAGAATTTAATATAAATACCGTTTTTTTTTTATGACCACGGGTACCGTAACATCAGTGTAATAGGGGCACGGCATCTACTGCGGCTACAGCAGCAGTGGCTTTTCATGGGAAAGGAAACCTGACGGAGCCTTCTCTTGAATTCATGAGTTTCCTTCTAATAGATTGGTTGCCAACCAAGGCTATAGGGCCCAGTCTGTCCTGCTATTTACTATGGGGCAGATAGATGTATATCTGTTTCAAGTGAATTAACATGTAAGTAAATGTAATGAAATCCATTAGAATTAGAACTTGGTTCTCCGATTCCGCAATCCGAGCCGCTAACCATTGCCCCAACGTTTAAAGAACAGATTAGAAAAGAAATAAGAAAACGTATTTATTTATTATTTATTATATTTAATTTTTAACGCTGAATATGCAAATTAGAATATCTCAGTGAAGCAAGCGGGGCAGGATATAGGACACATCATTTTCTATAATAAATCACATTTATTTTATTTCATTGTTTTACGTAATATTGGAACACATAGACAGGAAAATACAAACAATATCTGTCTATATCTCTGAGATGAGGTATTATGATTACTTGCCTTATTGACATTATTCGGACTGTTATCCACATCTTCATTTACATATTCACAACATTTCGGCCGTTCTATGCTCCAGCATTCTTCAGGTGATAGTAATTTTGAACCAAAATCTTTATTCTGCAACCCACCCACCCCGGGTAGATTAATCTAGTTCCACGTGCCATGCCTCTTCCAGATGTCTCAATTATTTCTCTTGGGGATATATGGCTCAGTTGGTTAGATCCAGGGAGTAGAGCCAACGAGTTGTGAGTTCAATACCAGGCCACAGCAGCGGTGAACTAAAAACTTGGTGAGTTGAGTTAAAGGGAAATAACTGAGACATCCGAAAAAGGCATGGCATGTGGAATTAGAACAATCTACTCCGGTGGATGAAATAAAGGGTTCGGTCCGAAATTCCAATCTCTTGTACAGCGGCCGAAACATTGTGAATATGGCAATGAAGATGAGGATAACAGTCTGAATAATGTAAATAATGCAAGTAATCATAATACCTCATCATAGAGATATAGACAGATATATAGAGAGATATAGGCATAAAGGCCGGAGCGTATAACGGTCGAAACGTTATGAATATGACAATGAAGATGAGGATAAAAATCCGAATAATGTAAATAATATAAGTAAAGACAAACAAATTAAAATGTATTAAGTTTCTAAGTGTTTCATCGAAATTTTGAAATTTATGCTAAGTAGCGTCAAAAAATAATTTCCGTTTTTGTTTATCAAATATATTCTTCAGAAAATGAAGTATAATTGCCTTTTTTACAAATATATTATTCACCATTAATTGCAATGAATTGTTGCCGCTTATCAGGCAGCCGTTCGATACCTTTTGAGTAAAATTGGATGTGAAAAATCTTTTGACGATTCTTCAAGTTTGTTTTTTATTATTCATCAGTAATATTCAACTAGGCACCCCTCTTAACCATTATCCCACAGGAAGGCACCCAAGGTATATATACATACATACATACATATATATTAGGTTGGGGCAAAAATAATGACGTAATAATGTCGTTTTTGTGACGTATTTTTAACCTCAAAAACGACATTATTACGTCGTATTTTTTATATATATATATATATATATATATATATATATATATATATATATATATATATATATATATATAGTTCAATAGAGATACCGTCTTGGGTATGATGATAAACTACATCCGCGTCCTGGGTAAGACGATAAACTACATCCAACAGCAAGGTCTCTGATCAGAAGGTTTTGAGGAGCGTGTAACCACCTCCTAATTGCTGGTGTTCCCTGGTGCCCCCTGACCTGGGGTAGTAGCACCTGTTAGGGTCAAAGCTATGGGTAAATAGTTAACCCTCAAAATATGGTCAAAACGTGTAAAAAAATAGGTTTTAATACCAGCAATACATACTTGAAGAAAAAATTATTACCAGCAATACTACTTTGGAAAAAAAATATTACCAGCAATACATTTTCAAACACAATAATTCCAGCAATAAAAATTTCGTCAGTATTAAATAACCCATTGAGGTTGATATGCCGTAAAACAAAAGAAACCAAACAAATATGTACGGAGATAGATAGATAGATAGATAGATAGATAGATAGATAGATAGATAGATAAGAAATATCACAAGGAAAATTTGCTAAGAATTATTTAAAAAAACATATTGATTCCTCCTTTTGTTGTGGACAACATGAAAAAACATTAAAAAAAAAAGTTAATTTTGAAATTCCTGGAAAGTTCCCTATAGGACAGGCACCTGAAGAGAGCTACAGACTGCAACTGTCGAAAGGTTGTGAAGATAGGAATGAAAATGAGGACACTAATTTTAATAAACCAGTGTAAAATAGCGATAATTCCTTATCTGAAAGTTCAATGTGCCGGTACACGAGTCAGCTTGGCATGAGTGGTAAATGCACATTTGCCATTCGTCTGTTCAGATCTATCTATCTATCTATCTATCTATCTATCTATCTATCTATGTATCTATCTATCTCAGTCTATTCAGATCTATCTTCTATCTATCTATCTATCTATCTATCTATCTATCTATCTATCTATCTCAGTCTGTTTAGAGATATCTATCTACCTATCTATCTATCTTTATCTATTCATTACTTTCTTTCTTTCTTTCTCAGTCTGTTCAAATTTATCTATCTGTCTATCTATCTATCTATCTCAGTTTCTTCGTATCTATCTATCTATCTATCTATCTATCTATCTATGTCTGTTCATTTCTTTCTTTCTCAGTCTGTTCAAATCTATCTATCTATCTATCTATCTATCTATCTATCTATCTATCTATCTATCTATCTCAGTCTGTTCAGATCTATTTATGTACCTATCTAGCTATCTTCATCTATTCATTTCTTTCTTTCCTTCTTTCTTTCTTTCTTTCTTTCTTTCTTTCTTTCTTTCTTTCTTTCTCAGTCTGTTCAAATCTATCTATCTATCTATCTATCTATCTATCTATCTATCTATTTCAGTTTCTTCGTTTCAATCTATCTTTCTATCTATTTCAGTTTCTTCTATCTATCTATCTATCTATCTATCTATCTATCTATCTATCTATCTATCTATCTCAGTCTGTTCAGATCTATCTATCTACCTATCTAGCTATCTTCATCTATTCATTCATTTCTTTCTTTCTTTCTTTCTTTCTTTCTCAGTCTGTTCAAATCTATCTATCTATCTATCTATCTATCTATCTATCTATCTATGTCTGTTCATTTCTTTCTTTCTCAGTCTGTTCAAATCTATCTATCTATCTATCTATCTATCTATCTATCTATCTATCTATCTATCTATCTATCTATCTATCTATTTCAGTTTCTTCGTTTCAATCTATCTTTCTATCTATTTCAGTTTCTTCGTATCTATCTATCTATCTATCTATCTATCTATCTATCTATCTATCTATCTATGTCAATTTTGTCCACACTTTCCTCCCTACATTTTTTCTTTGTCAGACGTAAATGACACCAATGCATAGTCGGCGAAAAGGTCAGTCCTAGAATCACCCCTAAATCGACCTTTTCTTGATTTCCTCAACCATCAAATCTTTCCGATTTCTGAAATAAAATAAACGTTTTCTCTTTCTCTTGTCCTTTAGACAAAATGGCGACCAATAGGAGTCAGCATAACTGATTTGCTTACAGTAAAGAAGCAAAAAAGAAGAAATATTAAGAAAGACTGGGCTTGGAAAGACGGGAGAAAAAAATGAATGAAAAAAGAAAGAAGAAAACCAATGAAGGCGGCAAGTGTAATGTCGAATATATTTTCGTCTGTGTCCGTGGCATCTGTTCATCTGTTCAGGATCCAGGTCCGGTTTTAAGGGTTTTTTTTATGGATTCAGAAAGAAAGAAATAATCGAAAGTCTTATAAAACTGAAGAATGAACGAAAGAAATCGTTTTGTAAAACGATTTTGAGTGGATGCAGACGGTGTACCAGAATCGTACGAACTGAGATTGTAGCGTTCAGCCCAAATGCTAGCACAGCTAATGATCATTGCTGACCAGGTCTACAGAGCGAGTCTTTTAACACGCTTCCTCTATGGTATCTATACCTGAATTTTAGCGCACGGTGGAGTAATGGATAGCGGTTCGGACTGAGGAATCGGAGAGCAGAGTTCGAATTCCAGTCAGATCCATTACATTCACTTACTTGCTAATACCTTTGAGAAAAGGTAGGAGTCCTCTTCTTCTCTTCCCAGCTATGGCTAAATAGCAGGAAAGACCGAGTTCTATAGTTCCATAACCTTGGATGGCAACTGATCTACCACAGAAGGAAATGGCAAACTACTACAGGGAAAAAAGAAAACTCTGCCTATTGAAAGATACATGGCCGCCTAAACGTGTATCCCGCATGGCACATAACTGACTGAAAGGTTGAGGAATCGGAGAGCCGAGTTCGAATTCCAGTCGAATCCATTACATTCACTTACGTGCTAATACCTTTTGGTAAAGTTATGAATCCTCTTGTTCTCCCCTCAGCTATGGGTAAATAGCAGGACAGACCGCGTACTGGATGACAACTAGTCTTTCAGCAGAAGAAAATGGCAACCTACTGCGGGAAAAATCTGCCTCGTCAGTCATGTATTGAAAAGACACATGATCGCCTAAGCGTGTATCACATAACTGACTGAGTAGATTGAGGCGTCCTTGGTAAGACGAAAAAATTATATCCAACAGGAAGGCCTCTGAGCAGGAGGTTTTGAGGAGCGTGGAACCATCTCTTAATTGCTGGTGTTCTCAGGTCCACCTTGACCAGGGGTGGTAGCACCTGTTAGGGTCCCAGCTATGGGCAAATAGTTAACACTCAGACTACATCCGCGTCTTGGGTGTGAAAATAACTACATCCGCATCCTGAGTAAGACGAGAAACTACGTCCAAAAGAAAAGCCTCTGATCAGGAGGTTTTGAGGAGCGTGGAACCACCTGTTAATTGCTGGTGCCCTCAGGTCCAACCTGACCCGGGGTGGTAGCATCTGTTAGGGTCCCAGCTATGGGTAAATAGTTGACCCCCAAACTGGGGTCAAAACACTATAAAAGTGTAAAAATAGGTTATAATACAAGCAATACATTTTTGAAAATAAAAAAATATATTACCAGCAATAAAAATCTTGTCGGCATTTAATAACCCATTGAGGTTGATATACCGTAAAACAAACCAAGCCAATACATTGGCGCGCAAGATATCATTATTTTACAGCTGAAATGGCTATTTGTAACCGTAAGTTCTATGCGAACAGTTTCTCTTTTCGCACTTATTTGTGAGATTCTCTTCCCGTTTTTTCTTTCTAGTCAACTGTGATCTTCAAAAATTTAAATGCAATATCAATTGCTATCTTCTGTTTTCCTAACATTTATTTTTTATTGTTCTCGCTCCTTAACAGTTTTTTTCATCTATTCTGTATTTCTCATATTCACTAACTCTTTGCGTCTCAGTGGCTTTCTTGCCTTGCTTGTTGTGAAATGATAAAACAATTCTGTGTAGAAATTCCTTTTTACTTTCCCTTCAAAATTGTTTATCGATGAGATAAACTAAGACTGGTTATACAATAATTTAGACCAGTGATTCTCAACTTCATCTAAGTGGACCACCGGTGGTCCACATAGCATTTCTAGTGGTCCATAGAGAATTTGTAGGTATAAAAAAAAAATTGTAGCCATTTCACAAAAATGGATCTAAATTATTCACACTTTGAAGAATTAAAAAATATAAATTTTGTTTAATTATACACATGTCCATTTGAAAATTTCAAAATTGAATGTGTGTTGTGCAGTTCTATATTTTTTATTTTTTTTTTTATCTATTTTTTTATCATTAATTTATATATATATATATATATATATATATATATATATATATATATATATAAGCAATATAAATGGATATAAATCCGTCAGTTATCTGTTCGGAATAAGACTTGTGTTTTATGTCCATCGTATTTGTCATATTGAACTGAATTGTATTTTGATGAATATTGTCTTGAAAAAGGTTTAATAAACCGAAACGTCAGACGTCGACATTTCTTTCATTTAACTACATTTAAGGATTTTTGTTTGTTTTTTCAAAATTTCTTCATATATATATATGTACAAAATATTATATATACTATATATTAACGAGTACCACCGTGCCAGGGACAGGAGTTAAAATGTGTATCCTCTAAGTTTCATATAAGACCTGCGCCTGTGAAGAAAAATATTTTTATAAGGGGAGATAATCAATACTTAACAAGGGGAGATAATTAAAAAAAAAACAGGACACCGGATAAACAGGATGTAAAGACACAGACGGAACTAAAAACAGAATGCCACCGATAAAGAGAAAAAAACCAGGGGCGTTGGTAATTTTTTTTTTTTCATATAAAAAAAATTATATTATTGATACGTCCCGGAAAGGGATATATTTGATCGAAGTATCTAAGTGGTTTTGGCTACTGTAACCAACTAGTACACGGTAGCAGTAATCGACTGGTACTCGTCGTTGTCGCAGGTAATCGGTGTAGAGCAATAGGATAGCCAATGGCGTAGTCCAATGGGCGTCGTCATAGACTTAAACTCTGTCGTACCTACACGTCCGTCTGTATTTATGGCGGACACCAGCCAATCATATTCCAGTGAGGGAGAAGACAGGTATATGCCTATTCTATTATATCAATTACATATAGTATTTGTTTAATAAAGTAAATTTGAAAGTATAAATACGCTACTTTGTGTTTTCATTGAGTATTTTACTCTGAAAATTGAATAGACTAAAAGTAAAAGTAGGAGTGGTCTATTTAAATTTTTTGAAGAAAAAAAAATAGACCATGGGCTGAAAAAAGTTGACAAGTACTGATTTAGACCATCAGACGCTTTATGAAATCTTCGATCGCTTACGGACCCCCCCCCCAGCAAATAATATCAGTAATAATTATTTGATTTATTTTACTTTCAATACACGAATTAATTGATCAAGAAAAAACCCCAAATTTTCTTTCAAATAATTTTTATTTTCCCAAGTTCTTTCAACCTCATCTCAGGCCATCTTCAGGGGTTAAAATATCTATGGATACTAAATATGTGTTTAAATATATGTTTAAATAGTACTAAATATATGTTTAAATAGTATTAAATATAAGTTGAAATAATACTAAATATGTGTTTGAATATATGTTTAAATAGTACTAAATATATGTTTAAATAATACTAAATATATGTTTAAATAGTACTAAATATTTGTTTAAACAATACTAAAATATATGTTGAAGTAGTACAAAATATATGTTTAAATAGTACTAAGTATATGTTTAAATAATACTAAATATATGTTGAAGTAGTACTAAATATATGTTTAAATAGTACAAAATATATGTTTAAATAATACTAAATATATGTTGAGGTAGTACTAAATATATATTTAAATAGTATTAAATATATGTTTAAATAGTAATAAATATTTGTTTAATACTACTAAATATATGTTGAAATAATACTAAATATGTGTTTGATTATATGTTGAAATAGTACTAAATATATGTTGAAATAGTACTAAATATATGTTTAATACTACTAAATATATGTTGAAATAATACTAAATATGTGTTTGATTATATGTTGAAATAGTACTAAATATATGTTGAAATAGTACTAAATATATGTTTAATACTACTAAATATATGTTGAAATAATACTAAATATGTGTTTGATTATATGTTGACATAGTACTAAATATATGTTGAAATAGTGCTAAATATATGTTTAATACTACTAAATATATGTTGAAATAATACTAAATATGTGTTTGATTATATGTTGACTTAGTACCAAATATATCTTGAAATAGTACTAAATATATGTTTAATACTACTAAATATATGTTGAAATAATACTAAATATGTGTTTGAATATATGTTTAAATACTACTAAATATATGTCTAAATAATACTAAATATATGTATACCAAATTTTGAGATATATGACCATTTATGAAATTTTTTTTGTTTATTTAAACTTTAAGGTCACCTTTTTCATCCTCTGTTAAAACACTTTCCATGTGTCTAAATATTTGTCTGGGCGAGTTTTTCAATAGGTTTCGTAATATTCGTCATGCTCTGTCATCTGAATATTATTTCGTTTGAAGGTTGGTTATTGATTTGGGCGCTTTGTTTCCAGGCCAGTCGAGTATCGTTTTATAAGGATGTGTGATAAGAGCCAAAATGACAAGGACTATCTCGAGGTTGCTCGGAGGCCTTACTCCTGAAATTTACTATTGTTAGGTAGCATATTTTAATTCCAACAGGTTTGGTAAAAAATAATTTAACTCCATTATGTCTATTTTCGTTTTCATCCTTTCAATATACGAATTAATTTCTTGCTGGCTGTAGAAAATTGATCAAGAAAAATCCCAATATTTACTTTCAAATAATTTTTATTTTCCCAAATACTTTCAACCTCAACTGAGGCCATCTTCAAGGGTTAAAATATCTATGGATACTAAATATGT